ACGGTTCACCCATTCACGATCAACAGCGAGGTCTTGTCCGCTGGGCGGAGCACTTTAAGGCACAGTTTAGCTGGCCACCAACGTCAGCTTTTCACACAGCCCTTCCGGCACACATCCCATGGTCTGTCACAACAGACCCACCTTCTGAGGCGGAAATCTGTAAGGAGATCCAAGCCTTGGGACGTCACAAAGCGCCGGGCTCCGNAATGATGGAATAAAGCTTGTTACAGAACAGTGTGCAGGTCCCCTCCTCATGAGGGGGAGTCGATTGTCGTCCCCATCTTCAAAGAGAGCCCGCGCAATGACTGCGCCAATCATAGGGGTATAAGCCTAATCCCAATAGCGTCAAAGCTGTCGGCGTCTATCATTCTCCGCCGATTGTACACTACGCGCGAGGAGCAGGCTGGGATTCGTACCGGTCGTGGATGCATCGATCAAATCTTCACCCTCCGACAGCTGCTAGAACACCGTTATGCTTATCAAAGACCGACGATCATTGTATTCTTAGACATCCGCGCGGCCTTCGACTCTGTCGATAGGACCACACTACGGAACCGTTTGTTGATGAATGGAGTACCTGAGAAGTATGTGTCGATCCTTAAAGAGTTGTATCCTTATACCTCAGATCGGGTTATGGCCTATGGCCAACTTTCGCCACCCTTCGCCGTCTCCAGTGAAGCTCGAAAAGGTTGCCCTGTATCCCCATTCTTTTGTCATAGAGGATGTTCTACAGAACGCTTTGTCCGGTCTAGCAAACGGTGGAGTCGAACTCCTCCCATGGAATAGAGTTTCTGACTTGTAATATGCTTATGACATCGCCGCGCTGAATGACAACATACAAGCAGTCTAAGACGCTTTAAACCGTTTGGCAATCGAGGTATCCATGTATGGTATGTGCTTTGCACCTTCTAAGTGTAAAGTGCTTGTTCAAGACTGGCAGGAGCCTGTGCCTGCAATCACCTTCTGTGATGAGGAGAACAGATCACATCACAAATAGCGAAAGCTAGAACAGCTTTCGCCAAACTGCGACACCTGTGGCGCCGCCATGACATCCGACTATCCCTTAAGGGAAGGGTGTACATCGTCGCAGTTCATAGCGTTTTGCTTTACGGTTGCGAGACCTGGCCTCTCCGCGTTGAGGATGCCAATCGACTTCCTGCATTCGACCACCGATGTCTCCGAAGCATTGCCCGTGTCTGGTGGGAACGTATGGTGAGCAATGACGAGGTCCGTGCTCTCTTTGCACGTGTCGGGCAAGGCTGGAAGAAGCGCTACGGCGACCAGATCATGACATGGTGTATGAAGAAGCTGGCTTCAGCTTTGGTTTCGGTTGGTGCAGCCCGCCTCCCAGGTTGTGGCCCAAGGGATGAGGAGTATCGTTGGTTAGAGACGCTGAGAGATATGGTCCAGAATAGAAGCCAGTGGCGCAAATGTTGTACGGTTTGCCTGTCGAAATCCCGTGTCCAATAATAAAAAGACAAACTAACAGACGAAAAAATTTCAAAAAGTGTACGATAAAACACAAAAAAGAACTGATATGCCATTTATTTATTATTTTCCATCTTAACAATTCCAAAAATCAACCTCCCCTCTCGTTATTGTTATCGTTATTATTCTTTTAGCGTTGGCACCGCACTAGTCCGCAAAACTGGTGTTTTATATATATATATATA